TAAATATCTGAAATAACAAAACATTAAAAATAGCTAAATAATTATATAACAAAATATTTAATACTATGTAATAACATAAAATAAATAAAATTAAAATAATGAAATAATTTAAATACTTTACATATTATTTAAATATTTAAATAACGAAATATTTAACACGACTAAATTTTAAATAGATAAAATTACGAAATTATGTAATAAATTTAATTTTTTTCTTAAAAGTAGGCAAATGATTAAAATAGGTTTCATAACATTCATATTAATAATAATTTAATATTTTACAAAATTAATAACAGATTATGTAATAATAGTACTAATTATAATTTTATGGAGTTTTAAATTCAATAAATAATAAATATTTTAAAAATTTAAGTAGCAATATTATTTAAATTACTAAATAATATTATAAATAAATAATTTCACTTATATTGATTAATAATTATATTGAATAACTTCCAAAAAATTATTATTTATTAGTAATAATTTTTACAACAATAGTGTATATTCATTATATATTTATATATACTAAAATTAATATTTATTGTATATTTATAATTATTGTATTTTTATTAGATATCTGTTGTATTTTCATTATAAATTTATTTCATTAATTTTTCATTTTTGCTATAATTTTTTAATAATTATTGAAAATTAAACTATTGTTATTTATTAGAGATTAGACTATTAATTTTGTTGAAATTATGAGTGTTCAAGGATTGGTTCAATTCAATTGCAAATTGATTCAGAACCAAATCAACCTTGTCTATTATCAATTTATTTTCAATAATTCTGTATTTTTGCTATAATTTTCAATAATTATTTGAGGTTAAACTATTGTTATTTATTAGAGGTTAGACTATTAATTTAGTTGAAATCAGGAGTAATTAAGGACTGGTTCAATTTGTCACCCGAAATTTACAGACCATTTGTGAAAACTTGCCAACTTGGGTTGTATTGGTTTGGGTCTATTTTCGGTTTGGTTTGTTTATACAAAAGATTTATACTTAAAAATTAAATTTAAATTTAAATAATGGTATTATTAAAATATAAATTAATGATATAAATATTTTAGACTAACAAATAAGGGAATTTTCCCACTTTCCCGTATTAAAAAAATTATTAGGGGTGCAACTTTTCTAAGTTAGGGTTGGGATTTTGTTAAAGTTTCAATGGTCACAACCCAAAATCCGAGCCCGAAACAATGTAAACTATTAACTCGGGCCAACCCGACTTGCACCCCTAAAAATTATATTTAAAATATAAAATATTAATATATATCTATAGTCTGGTAGGTTCAGTTTTGGTTGGTTTACATATGGCCAAACCGAAACTAACCTAACTTGGTTGGATTGGAATGTTGTCGACCAAAGACGACTGTAAATACTAGAAGACCGACCAACTCGGGTTGAGTTCGATTGGATTGGTTATTATATATATTATATAAACAAGGTAGTGAAGAAATTTTCTCTTTTTGTTGAATTTTTTATTTTTTTTTAATTCCATGTCATTTTTGGAACAATGAGATGCATTCCTTCCCCATAAAGAATTATCTAAAATCTCTCTCTCTCTCTCTCTCTCTCTCTCTCTCTCTCTCGGGTTAAGACTACTCCCTCGTTGAACAAATCACACCAGACTTGGGAGTGGGGGGCAATTGATGAGGGGTAATTTGGTTTTCCAATGATATTATGACACATGGCATTGTACAACAACAGGGTGACACCTCGACACCACATAAGCAGACCCAGGAGCACTTCGGATAATTCACAACTGCCTCAGCGACCTCAGCACCACCCCAGTAGGTCGAGTTGTGAACAGCTACGCAAGACCTCAAGTCGGTGTATGAGGTGACTTGCTTTCACCAAACTACCCTAGCTCTAGTTAGTGACCTTCTTGATGTGCTGAGTGACGTCCCCCTTAAGTGGCCTATCACCTTTGGATTTCTCGAGATCACGACACCATGATGGAAGAGCTGGTTATCACCCCACTCGTTTCAGACGGGATTGGGCAAACACTATCAGCTAACATAGAGTCCACCTCCAGGCGTGAAACCACCATCAAACTTGACACGCTGGATATCCCGAATGTGTTTCATGAGGTTCACAACAACTCGCTTATATAAGGGCCTAACCTCCAGTCTCATAAGGTACGCAAGATTTAACACCCAAGTCTCTGTCTCTCTCTTATTTTCTAGCTCGTAGAAAAACTCTGGTTTAAGCATCAAACTGCCCACATCGGGTAAAGTAGCCCGGGTACTTTGATCTTCTCTCTTTCCTTGCAGATTGACCAAGTGACCTACCTAGTTCGGCATCCGAGTTGTTCTCCAACAAGGAGTACCAAATAGTGCACCATCAGAATTGATTCCCTAATTTGGACAATTTGCATGTTGCAACTTCTAGTTGGTAGGAAACAGATTCATTAAAGCTGTATTTGGAGCCAATGTTGTTTTCTGAAAGAAAACGATGCTACAGTTTTTTCAGAAAACACTTTTTCGGGTTTGCTATTTGGTACCTTTATTGTTGTTGTCACATTGACATTTTTCAATGTCATGTCAACATATTGTTGTTAGTAGTAGTAGAAAAAGAGAAAATGCCGGGAAGGGAATTTTTTTGATCATACATTTCCTGATTTTCAAGGCATGGTTTGGGAAAAAACATCTAAACAAAAATTGGGCCTTTTATGAAAAAATAGATTTCAAGCATGATCCTAATGTAGCGCCATTTTTCGAAGAAATGTCGTTGATATCAAACACCTACCAAGCATTTGTTTGGCATCGATGCCGTTGCTCTAGAAAACGGTGACACATCAGTGCCATGTTAGTAAAAGTGGTGCTCCAAGCCACACCTTGGAAATCGAGAAGGCATGGTTTGGAGCCAACGCCGAATTTGGCATTTTCTCAGATTGCAACTTGTTGCTGCCAACAAGGACGTGATGTGGAATTCTTATAATGGGTACCGGTGCTGAAAACAGATGTGGAGCATTGGTACCAAATAAAAAGTGTTGTTGTTGCTTCCAACCAAGGTTCAAAGTATCAGAAACGCCAAGTGTATTAGAAATGCAATTTTAAGAGACGTATTGGGATACGCCTTCGATACGCATGCATATCAGAGAAAAACTAAGATACACATAGATACGCTTGGAAAAATTTTAAATACTTTAATAAATCATAAAAATACATCAACAACACTAAATATAAGAGCTCAATGAGGTGTATATACATTAAATTAATATACTTTAATGGTTTTATAAAGAAATATATTGTAGTTAATTATAATTTCATTAAAAATCCTATGCTTAACTACAATTTATAAATTATAATTCTTAATTAGTTTAATGTTTTATGGGATGGGAAAAACCCAAATCTCCTATCCAACCATAAAACATGCATTGGCGCAACTTCTAAGTGAAAATATAATCAATAATTATTTATTATTTATTTCCAAAAATTATAAAAAAAAATAAACATTATATAATATATTCAAAAATAGTTATTAAAGAAGAAATTTCAATTGCTTTGTGGATATAATAGATCATCCATAGAATTATAATATATTCAATCATTGTGATCAAATGATAAAATATAATTAATTATTTATTTATTTTTTAATTCTAAAAATATAAAAGTAAAAAATAATTATTAAATAAGAACTTTCAATTGGCTATGGATATGATAGATCATCCATAGAATTATAATATATTCAATTGTAGTGATCAAATGATAAAATATAATTAATTATTATTTATATTTTAATTCTAAAAATATAAAAAATAAAAAAATACTAAAGAGGAAATTTCAATTGCTTTATGGATATCAAGGTTCAAAATATCGATGTGTCGGTAGGGGCGTATCGAGTGTTTTGATACTTGTTTTTTTACTATTTTTTTATTTTTTTTCAAAACTGGTTCAGGGGAGCTGGTCTAGGACCGCTCCATCCCTTGAACTGGTCCGACCCCCGATACACCCACTATAGGGGCATATCGGAAGGGTCCCGGAACGATACGTATCGATCGATATAGGCCGATACGTAACGATACTTTGAACCTTGGTGGATATGATAGATAAATCCATAGATCTAAAACATATTTAGTCTTTATAGGAAGATAAAAATTTGAAAAATATTTTTCATATTTTTTCAAAATTTGAAAAATTTTAAAAATAAATAACGATTCTCACTTGTTTCTTTCAAATTTTTGCAAATATAGCACAATAGGAATGAGGTTTGGAGTTTTAGTGTCATTTGGGGGTGAAAGAAGGCTTATTTCAAGGAAAAGAAGCTTGTTTACCCCTTTATTTTTTTTTTCAGTTTTTGACCGTATGTTTTTCATCGATACGCTACCGATATGCCCTTGATACGCCCTGATATGGTCCGATACAGGTTCGATACATATAAAAAAAAAAGACATGACGTCTGATTTCCATGTGTATTCAATATCTGCTTTTCAAATATACAATATAATATGCCCCGTATCACCGTATCATATCAAAATTTTAAACCTTACTTCCAACTAACATCGATGACAAAGATATACTAAGAGAACATAGCAGATAGAACAAATACAGTCACAAAGATAAAAAACGATAGCTCACTAAAAAGGAGTGTATTGTCTCGTGGTAGCAGATCTGAGTTCCAATTAATAAAACGTGGCTGTCATCGATGAAAAATAAAAATAACTTCAAATGATGTTTTGAGCTTATTTCCACTGGTTGGGGGTTTCCTATGGAGTGATTGCTGCAATTACCATCTCAGGGAAAATGTCGTCTCAAATTTTACCTACAAAAAGAAAAACAATAGCAGCAAGCATGGTTTTCAAAATCGGATCGGATCGGATGGTCGGACTGGAAAAATAAAAAATCGGCCATTTGATCGGTTCTGTTTTTTCCTCAAAACCGTTGATTTTAGTCATTAAATCACTGAACTGACTGCTTAATTGTTTGAACGGTTTTGACTATTTTTTAGTTTTTTTTAATTTATTTTTAAATTTTTTATTAAAAAAAACGGCCATTGAAATCAAACAACCTGACCATAACCGGACCCCTAACTGGTTCGGTTTTAAAAACAATGGCAGCAAGAAATCAAACTGAATCAGGGCGCCTCAGATCAGATGGTTACCAAACATATATATTATTATTGGGATCTCCATCACTACCACAACTTTGAGAATGCAAAATCACCACATGAACATACTAAGTGGCAACCTCTATTTATAGGCTCCAAGGTGTGTTTTTTAGGGGTAATGATCTGCTACCAACGAAACACTACCAGCTGCCAGCAAGCCACTGCAGTGTTGATCACATTGAGAACATCTCTATGTTTTCTAATAGCTTAATTTTGTTGACATGGAAATAATGATGTTAGTGTATTTGGTGGTATTGTTGGAGGTAGACATGTAATGACTTAGTAAATCCCTGTACCTTCGGAACAATTCGTCCATCATCTCCCCTCCAAAGTGGCTTGTCAGCATGGACTCCACAACCGCCCGTATCGTCTTCATCACTCTCTCAGCACCACTCTCCTCAGTTGTTTCCGCTGCTGCTGCTGCTTCTGCTGTATCATGATCACCCCCATCCCAGTCGATCTCAAGGATGTCCAGTCGATCAACTGCAAATGAACCTTCCCTCTGTATAGCTGATCTGAGCTCTTCTGCACTGGGTGAGTAGTAGGGAGCATTGAACGAATCCAACTTCTTTTCTTCAACTAGTCCCTGTCAACCAATTTATTTATTTCCATCAGACCTAGTAAGTGAGCGAAACCCCAGAAGCAACCAACCCCAACCTCTGTTTTTCCCATCAGTCCATCACAAAGAGTAGGTTGGCACAAGTGACCACTTCGTTGGTCCTCTTTGACACAAACATTTAGACTTGTGCTTGTCATCAATTAATACAATAGAAAAAGCCTTTTGAATAATTCATGTACTATTTTGTTTTTTGTTTTTTTTCTTGTGTTGTTGTTTTGTTGCTTATGCTTATTCGATGCATTCAAATGCCACAAGAGCCCCCCACTGACTATCCCCGTGACAAGGTGATCCCAATTCCTAATATAGCAAGGTAGCACCACAGACACAACCCGCACACGACTGTTACAGAAGACCAGTGTCCTGATAATTACATGGTGTTGTAGCATGATGATGACTGACGAAGGATTTATAAACCTCTGATGAATGATGATGACTGACGAAGGAGCCATCTTACTTTCAACCATTCAATCCCAGTAGCGGAGATTCAGATGCTGACATTGTCAACGAATTTTTATTTTAGCTCAGTTTGAAAGGAGTACAAATAGGAATTTGTAGAGTGTAAAATATTGTATTTGTATATATTTATACTGTACATATTTGTATGTGTATTCTTTTCAAACTGAGCCTTTATTCTTTTAAATTTTTACTACGTATAACTCAAAAATATTATTTCAAATTCTCCTCTCAGAATTTATTTATGAAACAAAGAACCCCATCAGGATGATTTATAGTTTCATGCTAAAAGATGGGTTGTTGTGTAGGGTTTCATATTTTTACATACGTCCAAAGGTCCCAGCCCACCCCCCGCCAGACATTTTTCAACCACCAAATCCATTTACTCAAATTCAACTATTGATGAGCAATGGTGAGATAAGAGATAAGTGGTGAACATGTAATAGGGGAGAGAAATAAATCAAGGGTAATTTTGTCTTATAAATCAAGTTGTTGCTGGTGTCTGTGTCACGGTGTGTATGCAACGTACTAATACCCTGTCACTGCTCCTTCTTCTGCCAGTGACGTTTCTCCATCCTCGATCAGCCCCACTCACTCGTTCGCATGAGATGACGGCCAAGCAACAATACTGTTCACATGGTGGAGTGATGGGTGTTCTTGAAGAGGTATCACATGGCCTTTATTAATTATTTGACGGATGGGTTGTGGCATTGGCATTATTGATGTAAGATAAATAAAAAAGTTTAAGACTCCATACTAATATTGAATATGAGAAATATAGGAAAGGGATTTATGATTTGTTCTCTTCTATAATTTGTAATTATTCCAAATATCTACATATAATACATTATTAAAATAAAGTAAAAAAGCCATGTCAAATCTAAGATGTTAATAGAGTCAAGCTAAATTGATCTCCCATCCATTAGTTTTAAATCCATTTACTTTGCATTCAAAACGTGTTCTTTTTTGTTTGTATCGCTACGCTGGAATTGGCTGATGGGCTTCAAATGGTGCTATGTGACAACCGTGACATGCATGTGATATGGTGATTTGCATAGGAGTCAAATGATCTAACACTGCACACCTCATAAATAATTTATAGGTCCCATCTTAATTAATGGTGGATTCCTATTTTACAAGGGGAAGTTGCGGACATTGATTGTTTCATATATTCACTTTTGCTATACTAAAACCATTTGTCGGGTGGTATGATCAAAGTGTTAAACCGGTGAACCCTTTGTTGGTCCTCACAATATTTACACAGCCGTGTATTGGAATTTGGAAGACGTTCCCATGCACGGTTGAAAGTATTAGCGAGAACTAGAAGGGTGTGAGTACCAAATTCGTGAGGATTTGGAATTTGGTTGTAGATAGAGTAGGATTAATTTACAAGTTAATGTTTTAAAGTTAATATCGATAAAATTCAAAATAATGGACAAGAAATTGACGGCTACCTGGATAACCATAGTCTGCATTGCTTGTGCTAGAAACTCCCACTGATGGCAACTCTCTTCAGTGGAGGGATCGGCAGACCTCCGACCCACCAAAGATAAAACCATACGGCCTCCTGCAACCATTTCTTCTGAACGTGAATGCAGAAATGACGTGAAATCCTTCTGGAATTGCAGGGCATATGCGCTTAATACGCAAGGCGGGCTTGTCTTCGATATGAAGAGTTTCCCCTTGTTTTTGCTGCCGAGGCCTGGTGGCACCTGAAAATTCAAAACCAACCTTCAGTTGATCAACCAGCTTCGTAGATTTCCTCCTCGAGACTCGAGAGGCCGTCCATGTTGGAATCTTCTATCTCTAATCATCAAGTTCAGAATTTTAGGTTCTTGCGTAATTACCTGAGAGAGCCAATGGAGACTTGAAGAAGAATGAACAAAGTGTAGGCTCCTTCTTGGAAATAGTCTCCCGTAAAAGGAACCGGGCATACCTGCAATATAGCAGTGCCCAAATTCACTTCCCCTTTCTTCCTTGATACTGTTATAATATGCCGGAATTGACCGGAATAGAGTGTTGAAGTCATTCCCCGGAAGATCGTTCAAGAACACCTGAAATTCCGGTGACGGGTCTCCCAGTTGACGGCATATCCGGCAGATGGCGTCCATAATGTCAGATACCGCCAACATAGTATTGGGTCCCGATGAACATCCCAGATCCGCTATGACGACTCTCTCACTCCCAGGATAATTGGTGCAACAGAAGCTTAATACAGCCTCCTCTATTATTGGCTTCCCAACCGATATGATTTTATTCTGTAAAACTCATTAATTAGAACAAAAATTAAATAAAGCAGACGATAAATCATAAATGGTTGGACAGAATCCATCAACCCATTAGAAAAAAGTTTGAAGCCCTAAGATGCATCCTATAACGCCATCAAATTCAATAATCAACGCCTGGAAAAGAAAAGTGTTATGGAGGCTAACCTGAACTACGGAGTTCTTGGCATAGCTGGTCTCCCCAGTCCCTTCGTTCATGTGGACTATTTGCTTTATGTCCATCTCTCTCTCTCTCTCGTCTGTATCGCGTGTGGATAATGGGGGTGGATATATATAGTAGAACCAGAGGAGCAGACAAGGTATTGAGTTCCATGAGCCATTTTACTCCCTCAAAACTCAAATTAATGCATTATAACTATGGAACAAATTCGGATTTCGCCCTCGTACCGTCGTCAGAGTAGGCACAACGTTTCAAACATGTTTATTGCGCACTAGGAAATTTTATTTGACACCGATCCCATAAAATACGCCCAATTTATCTATCCTTGTAAAAGATTTAAAAACATTATAAGCGTGGTCGTTGAACGGGTCCGAATGTGACACCTATCCCATAAAATACGCTCAATTTATCCTTGTAAAAGATTTAAAAACATTATAAGCGTGGTCATTGAACGGGTCCGAATGTAGAGCGCCTGATGTCACATTTAATGTACCTTTCATTCAAACGTTTTTGTTTACTCATAAATTATTTATTATTTTATTATTTTAGTCAAAATAATTAAAAATAAAAAACAATAAAAAAAGAAAAAATATAATTGAGTTCCAATTCTTAATACGTTTAGGTTTTTTTTTCATTGTTTTTATTTTTAATTATTTTGACAAAAATAATAAAATAATGGATAATTTCTATTCAACCGAGTAAAAATGTTTGGATGAAAAGCACATTAATTGAGACATGTGTCACACAGTTATTACGTGCTTACTTATTGTAGTTACCTAACGTACCTACTACATCCGGATCCTCGAAAATTTCTTGACACTTGTCTCTTAAAATATCCCCAATCTGTCATTGAAAAAGATTAAGTACCCACTTTTAAGAGTTGTCAAAATATTTATCATGTGCCTATTTATTATAGTGTGCTTATTCCCTTTTATAACCGTGTATATTGGGATTGGGAACATCTATGTTTTTATTCGTAGGAGATATTCTCAATTTACGGCTACAAGGGGCTGTGGAGATGATTTTGTATTCAAATTCCTGTAGAACATTGTATTGTGTGTGTATCTGTCTATCTGTCAGTCAAGCCAATGTGGCGCTGAAGGATGAGAGCATAGTGGGTTCACGGAGAATTTGGGACCACTATTAACGCCGTAGTAGGACCACTCGGGATTTCATTCTCACTCTCTACCCTTCTTGAATTAGAGATAATATATATCTATCATGAATCGAGAAATGTATGGTTACAATTCAAGGTAGAAAGTGGGTAAAAAATCTGGGCTCTAATACGACTCGCAACCATTCCAGTATTTATGACCAGCGTAAGGAGCGCATGGCTTTATTTGTCCCACATGCAGACGTGTAACACAGCTTTTATGTTCCTCGCAAAATTGGTCCTCCTGTAGCAAATGAGGCGTGATCTCCAGGAATATCGAGCAATTCTCGTTTTAATTACTTTGTGGTTTGAGCCATTCTGCCATGTATGTTATCTGAATATGTAAGCTCCCTTGATTTTCCTGTGCAGTCTCAATGTATGACTGACTTGTGAGGTTGGTGTGAGTATCAATTTCCTGGGAGGAAATCCGTTCAAATTAGAAACTGCTACCATATACTCATGAATTTTTGGATTTCAGAACTATTTACTGGGTTAATGGTGAAGCTAAAATTATAAAATTATTCAGTCAGAATTGATGGCTGAAAATGAAAAAAAAAAAAAACTAATGAAATAACAAAAATGGATAAGCTAAACCCCAATTTCTTTTGGTCTAGGTTATTGTGCTTTCAAAACCTTGATGATGAACTTCGTTTCTTCTTCACCAAGGGTTTGGAAGCAGAGTTTAGCATCGTAGTATCCCCATTTTTATAATTTGATAGTTTTTTTTTCTCAATCAATCAATCCATTCATCCATCTGAATAGACGAAATTGCAATTTTACCTTCATGGTCATGGTCAACCCCATTAACAAAATAGGGGGCAAAGTATGAAATCCCAAAGTTTAGTGGGGATATTTATCCTGAAACAATGTTTAGAGGGCTAAGTGTTCTCCACACCATAACTTCATCAGGATGGCATTCTGTTTATTACCAAAAGACATTCTATAAAATTCCTCAGAAAAAATCAATAAAAACATAAACATTTTCTATGATACCGGAAAGGTATCATTCCATTGTTTATCAGCTGTTTTTGGTATTATACATTCTCCGATCTCAAGTCCGAACATCGGACAAAAAGAAAGTTATTTTTTACTTTTTGGCACACAGGATATAGAGGAAGAGACCTATGGTGTATGGCTAAGGAAAAACCAGCATCCCCAGTCGGCCCCTTTCGCCATACAACACCGATCGACCTCAACTCCTTCCAACAGTGGAGGGCTGAGGTAAGGTTCAATCATGATTCATGATGGGCCCAGCCCAAGAGGATCACGGACTCGGTGGGATCTCAATTAATAGATAAGTACTAGTAGTACGAGCATGGTTTAAAGTATCGATACAAGGCGTATCGTATTATATCTTTTGAAAAAGATACGGTTCGAAATGTCTGTTTCTAGGTATTTCTTATAAGTTTTTCAGAAAATTAAACCTTGAAAAAAAAACAAAAAAAAAAAACAATGTATTGGCCGTTTCTAAGTACCGATACGATACAATCAAAACTGTATCGTATAAATACGAGTTTTTTAGCCGGTTCAATTAACCATCGGTTTGATTTATAGGTTTTTTTGGTTTTTCTTAAATTTACGATATATATTATAAATATATATATATATATGTAAATATATAATAAAAACTAGAAATATATATATATATATATTATATTTTAAATAATAAATTATATAATATATTATAATTAAATATATTTATATATAATGTATTTTTATTAATTTATAATATATATAAAATATAATATATATAAATATACATAAAATATATAAAAATATATGTGTATTGGTCGGTTTGGTTAATTACCGGTTTTCTATATTGGTTAACCGAAACCAAATTGGTACCTTCTGTTTTTTAAAAATACCAAACCAACTGGTTCGGTTAATCAGATTTTTTGTCTGATTTCGGCCTTTTTTTAGTTTGGTTCAGTTTTTCGATTTTTCTTGCTCACCCCTAATTGTATGATTAGTAGACTTTTCTCTCTCTCCATCTTGAGTTTAGGGTTGCAATTGGAGCCAACTTATTCTAAACACAATTCAAAATTTTCAGGTTAGGTTTGATTGATTTGAAATTCAGGTTAAGGCTATGACTTATGATTGAAAAGTATGAATCCAACTTAATTCGGGCTGGGTTAGAATTGAGGTCCTTGCCAATACAAATTAGCTTCATATTTGTATGTATTAATATTATATAAATATTTATTAGTGGAGCTCCGGGCAATTTGAGCCAACTTATTCAAAACACAATTCAAAAATTTCAGGTTAGGTTTGATTGATTTGAAATTCAGGTTAGGGCTATGACTTATGATTGATAAGTATGAATCCAACTTAACTCAGGCTGGATTAGGATTGAGCTCCTAGCCACTACAAATTAGCTTCATATTTATATGTATTAATATTATATAAATATTTATTAGTAGAGCTCCGTGCAATTGATGGGCTTAAACAAAATCCAAGTTGAAAGGCCCTTGTGTCATTAATTGTATTGGGCAAAGCCAAATTAATTCCAACCCAAGCATTATTTTTGGGTTTTGTATGGTTAGATAAACTTATATCAATTGTTCTATTAATGCTTATTATTGTTGGATAATTATTGTTAGTTTTATTATTCTAAATTGAATCTAAATGAGGTTTAGTCTTTTGTTAAATAATTTTCTTTTGATTTTAACTAATTTTTATTATATTATATTCATTTTCATTTATTTTAAATGATATTTAAATATAGATGCAACATCTAATAAAATATTAGGCATCTACACTTACTAATACTTATTAACTTGTTTTAGTACTATCTGTTAACACTTAATTCATTTTTTCTAATTTGTCTTAATATTGTTTTATTGTGACTAATTTTATGCGTTGGAATTTAGGAATGTTAAAGTAATAGTCTTAGGGCAGGGGCTGTGCTCCTCATCATTGTCCCCAATTCTTCTTCTTTTTTTTCGAATTAAAAGTTTGGTTTGGAAAAAGGTTCACTTAAAGTACAATAAATCACTAATTTAAATCTGTTTAACACTTAACTATCATCATCAATCACCAAGATGATAGGGAAATTTATCCAATATACACACACACACACATATATATATATATATATATATATATATATATATATAGTGTCATTGTTATAATTATTCTTGATGAAGGATGATTTGGCCCGACCTCGTAATCACTCAACACGTGGCAAAGGCAACAGTTCAGCACAACAGCGCACCCAAGGCGTGGGCACCGAAGGGAGGAATCAGCAGTCCGAACTCCCTTTCAGCAATCCGAACTCCCTACTACGAGCCCGAACTCCCTACTAGGAGCTCGAACTCCCTACAAGGAGTCTGAACTCTCCCTTAGGCCCCGAGCCATACACAAGGCAATGACGCGAACTGGCCCGCCTCATGGCAATTCGGGACACTCCCGTATCTGAACTCAAGACTTCACCTCGCTCACCACTCCAGCACTTCGCCTCCAGGACGCCGAACTGAACAAACGTACCATACCTGACACCGAGGAGGTCCATATCCAAGGACGGCGCACCTGACTGAACAAACGTACCATACCTGACAGTCGCACTTCAACGGCCTCCTGCCACCTCCACCTGCCACCATCATCGCCAGTCGCAGAGACGGCTCCGACAAAGTGGGCAGTGGCGATTCTGTCCAGCAGAGGGGATGACACCCGAACTGGCAGGAGCTCAGAGATAATCATACCCGACCTGACAGAAGCCTAGAAGTGAGTGCACGAGGTGATTATAAAAGGCTCCCTACCCCCAAGAACAAGGTATGTGAACTTTGCGCCATCCGGTTTTATCTTGCCTTTGAGAAAATTCTAACTTGAGCTTCGGTGCAATCACACTGGGTTCCCCCCGGAGCTTCCTCATCTTCTCCGTTTCAGGTTCCCTGTAGCTCCGTTCGGAGGCAAGGTCGTTGATAGCTAGGACCGGCCGGATTGCGCACCCTCAATTGGCGCCATCTGTGGGAACGCTTCTAAAAGCCTCCCTCTAAAACTCTCATAACCTCATCT